ACACACACACACACACACCAGAAAGTCCTTCTACTACTTATATTTAAAAGAAAACAAAAAAAAAACAACTGAGATATCTCAGACATTTAGAGCCCAGAGAAGATGGCTGTTTCTCATACTAACTGTGCCCATCATGGGGCTGCCACCAGGTCAATGCTAGAGTCTTAAGTCATAGATAGAGTGGAGCCAGCTTTCCCTAGCCATTAATGACTGAGATTTTCACAAAGCATAGAATCTATATGCTTTGTTAAAATCCTTTGGGCTATAAAGTAGAGGAAACCAGTACATGCTAGCTTAAGCGAAAAGGCACATCTATTATTCATTCGACTAATATTGAACACCTACTCTGTGCCAAACACTGTTATAGGCACTTAAAATAAAACTTGATTCATAGAACCCAAAGGCAGAGATATCATCAGCCTTCACATGAGATTAGAAGCAGAAAGAGGAGGCTCATGGAGAACCCAGGATATTTCTGAATATTTTTCTCCTCTGCTTTTCATCTTAATCATCCTTTCTGTTGCTACAGACAGGTGTTCTTTATTTTCCAGTCTTCGTCCTGAGAAGTAGTCCCTGCCAATAACTCCCAAGCATACCTTGTCTTTTCCATTCAAGAGACCAGGCAGACTATTCCTTCATGAAAAACTCTCACTAGGGGACAGGATCACACCGTCAAAGCAATTTTTTTCCTATTAAAATAGTGAAGGTAGGGGTGGCAGGAATCTCAGAAAGGCAAGAGGCTGGAGAGACTTAAAATACTGTGTCCCCTGCAAAAATAAACTTTTAAAATAAAGGAACTATTTAAAGCAAAAATTGTCTGATAAAAGTGCATATGTACAGCTATGCTTACATATATAAATATTATGTGCCAAGCAATACACTAAACCCTTAGCATTGATTACTTTGACCTTTGCAACAATCCTACAAGTAACTCTATTGGGAAATATTTGATAACTGGCTCCTCCAAGAGGAGGAAAAAAGTTTTAGTTTGTAGTGGTTGCCAATTTCTGTGGTGTTAAATACTCGATAGATTTCAAGCTACCAATGGCATCACTGAACATGGAGTTGGGAAGGATGTACCAAACAGGCTCTCATGAGCTGGTTAAGAGATTTCGCTGTAGCACACTGCTACCTATAAGGGAGGTACTACTTTCATCCCGATTTCCTTACACAGGAGGAAACAGACACAAGAAGTTAAATGACTTGCCCAAATTTACCCAGGAGAATCTGTATTGGCCCCCAGGCTGCACGGTGCCAGAGTTGAGACCAAAGATTTAAGACAAGTCGTATAGCTTAGCATATAATAATAGTGTCATGCTTATCTTAAATTCTACCAGTCACAGTCACTGCTTAACAAAATTAAGTGTCAAAAGAGTTCAGATCATCTTGTCTTGTGCCCTCATTTTAATAAGAGCCATTTATAGAGGTTTAAGAGTAATGTATCTCAATTTGAACTTCTAGGACAAGTGCCCAAGTTTCTAAACCATAACCACAATTTACCCAATTTTTTGCAGCATACCCTACCTGGATCATCCCTTATACTCATAACATCCCTAAAAAGTTCTTACCCTGGCTAATTTATAGACAAGGAAATAGACCTAGATGTCGACTTGTCCGAGACCACAATGGAAGTGGGAGAGTTAGAATTCAGGCCCGGGTCAGTCCATCTCCAAGACGTGCAATGAAATGCTACTTAAAGCTCCTTTGGGCCTCTTTTCAACCTTCACAAAGAATATAGCAGCTCTGCAGTCAGAGCCCTTGGGCCCTTTAAGCCAGCAGTCTGATTTACTGCCGTGTGGTGCCCCATATTCAGTGAAGCAAGCCTCCCGTCTTCCCTGAGAGTCCCCCATTTTCACCATGTGCACTGTCCAACTCAGCGATATCTGCCCCCAACCTTCTGGCTCCCAAACACGGTTCTCTCACTTCTCAAAATTTGCATCAAAGAGAAAATGCAAAGAACAATATGCATCCGGAGTCACCGCATCATTTTCTCCCAGTGAAGGTAAGGACATTATTTAACCACAACAAAGTCTTTTTCCAAGCTCTCTCATCTCCAATGGATGCACCTTTAACATGGTAAGAAAGCTCTGGCTCACTGCCCACGTTTATTCACCTAGAACTACAAATTTCAGTCTAACTTTAAAAATCTTTCTTTTCCTCATTTCTATGGGGCACACACAAGACTAGTCCTCGGAAAAGTGCGAGGTGGGTCAGGAACAGGTGGAGACCTTCCCCACTTTCAGTTTCAGCACCTTCTCACCCAGCTCTCCTTCCTCCTCCTCCCCTGCTTCTTACCCAGTCAAGCACTGCACCAAGGACTCAATTGCTCATCTAATTCTCATGATGACTCAAGTTGGTACTATCACCATCTCCACTTTACAGATGAGGAAACTAAGATTTAGGACTTGCCCAAAGTCTCACAGCTGTAAGTGGTGGAGCTGTTGTTTGAGAGACCAGGGCAATCCCACTATAATGATACACCCTGATGCAGCCATCTACATGGGTGATTTAAAAAGACCCTGAAATACCTCCTTTCTCCAAACAATCCCCCAGCCCCTCTAGCCTCTCCTATTCCTGCCTCCTATAGAGGAGGAATTAGTCTTAACAGCTCAGTAGTTCTGCTTAAAGAACAATGCGCAAGTTCTTAAAGACATGGTACTTGGAACAGGTCAGTTTTGATTAATTCATTTATTCAATAAACACTCAAGACCTATTATGCACTGAGCATGGATCAAGGCTCTTAGACGTATCAGTGGGGGAAAAGAAAGAGAGAGAGAGAGAGGAGAGAGAGAGAGAGAGTCCCTTACCTAAAGGAGCTTATATTCTAGTGAAAAAAAAAGATGAAAAATAACAAATGAGAATAGATTATAATAAAAGGTGCAAGCAAGTGCTATAAGAAAATTAATAAGCAAGATGGGACAAAGAGAAACAGGAATGTGGGGATGGGATGGACAGGTAAATAAGACGCCAATTGGCCTCTGTGGGAAGCTAAGATTTAAGCAAAGGTTTCAAGGAGGCGAGGGAAAAAGCCAAACTCTATCTAGGAAAGAGGAATCAAGGCAGAAGGAGCAGCTAGACCATAGACCCCATGGCAGATGTGTGCCTGGTATGTGCAAGAAACGCAAGGGAGGGTGGCTGAAGCAGAGCAAGTGAGGAAGAGAGCGGTGGGACAGCAAGGCACAGAAGTAGCACAGAAGACTAGATTGTATAGGGCTTTGCAGGACATCGTCAGAACTTCGCTTTTACTCTAGGAACTTCGCTTTTTGAGCAGAGGAGGATATCACTCTGGAAGGGCAAAGGAAAAGCAGGTGCACTGTTAGGAGGCTGTTGCAGTAATTTAGGCAAGAAGTAAGGGTGTTCAGACCAAGATGGTAACAGAGAGGTGGTGAGAAATACCACCATATATATTCATATATATATTTATATATATATATGAATAAATTC